GTTAAAGGATGTATCATGTGTGATTCATCTGTTTGTCTTGTTTGAGACAAACATCATCTGTTGCTTTCCAAGGAGTCTGTACATATGAGGAATCCACCTTAGGTCAATTTTGTCTCTCTTAATACAGTTTAGTTTCATTCTGAGCTGAAAAGTATCACAGGTGGCTAAAACATGTATCTCAAAACTGCTGAGGAAACGTTGCTTTAAACGTGCACTTTTTGTAGCAGCTGTATTACAGGTCATCACACATGCTAATTATCAATAAACGATGTGAGGGAAACGGCATGTATCTACAGAAAAAAAAAAAACCTTTCATATCCATGTCCAAATGCATATCACAACCACATTTGGAAAGACTAACTCAAAAGCAGAGAATAGAGTTGTGTAGTGTTTAATAAATTGAATCTGACTGGCCAATAAAACCCTACCGTCTGCTCCGGAGGGGACATTCAGGGGTCAAGGGCCCAGCCCCTGATCCATACAGACAGCCTCGATTCCATGTTTTCCGCAAAACACAAACGGGTGAAATTCATACTTCAGCAATGTCAACTTCCCTCTGCAGCGCTGTCACTAACAGCACAGGCCTCAGAGAGTGCAGGGAGAGAGAAAGAGAGAGAGAGACAGAGCGAGAGAGAGGATATATCCTGTATCATTTCCTGTTCTTCCAAGCGGTTTCTTTCTGACCTTGTTCATGATATGCCTCCATGCTTCTCAGTATCCTCCTCCCTGGCGCTTTTATATGTGATTCCGTCTGCCTGTCTTTCTCACTGATGCTCCTGTTAATCTGTCTGCCTGTCTTTCCCTCCCGGCTCTACCTGTTTCCCTCCATGTTTCTCTCTCTCTCTTCCTGCCATACACCCATGGCTTGCAGCTGGCAGTAGAGGGGGCACATTGCAGGCCGAGGAGGGTGTATTTGCTCCCCCTTCTCTCCGGGCGACCTGCCAGATGCCGCCTCTCCCTCTACACCCATTTTTGACCACACGGTCAAGAGGGAGTGTTTTCTGTTTCTCTTGGACTGCACTTTCAAAAAACCTTTCCTTCGCCCTGTCTGTCTGCGCTGTACGTCTGGTGAAAACTCAGACCCCTTTTTTCCAACCAGAAGTGCTAGTTCTGGCATCGTAACCAGCCCTCTGGCCCCCTTCACACACACACACACACACACACACACACACACACACACACACACACACCACACTCCACCCCCCTCACTGAAACACCAAATATTTCATTTTCAAGGTAGGATCGAGGAGGCGAAAGATGAGGAGAAAAAAAAGAGACAGTATATTTATGAAAACAAACTGGACAAGTGCTTCAACGAGTGCAGCTTAGATTGTGGATATACCAACAGGAAAGGTGAGAGGCAGGTAAATGTAAACGTTCATTACATTACCATTGACTGCTCGGCCTCTGATGTATGTTCCCTGGTTTCTTAAAAGCTCTCCTCTGACCAAAGTCTAGCTTCTTCTAATTCCACACAGAGCTCTGGGAATTTATTCAATTACCTAAAATGATCACATAAGAAAAAGGGCTTTAGAATTTGCTGAGGTGCACAGGATAAGCTTTCAGGGCTATCTGCGGAATCTCTTTAATTCACCCAAAGTGTGTGTGTTTTAAAACGTCAAAGTGCCTCGGAGCAGCTTTTTTTGCTGACTCCATTAAAATCTCCCACATCCCTCTTTTTGTAAACAGGAAAATTATTTCATACATAAAGTGAACCAGTGTGCACAGACATGAATACTGAAGGAATTATTCATTTATATTTTGGAGTTTTTGGTATTTTGTGTTTCAGTCAGTTGTATTATTATACTTTTACACATTATACACAAACAAATTATTTTATGAGTCATTAAAACTCTTAATAATTTCAATGTCACTACTAGACATATTTAAACATTCTGCTGGTAATTACTAAATAAATGCCCAATAGCTGCTTAAGTGCTGTTGAACAGTACAGAATAATTTCAGTTCTGCGACTCCTTATCACATACAAGAAAATGTTACTTCACCAATTTAAATATTTTGTAGCCAACTGTGATGTCCAAATATAATTTGTTTTGTCCGACCAACACTCTCAAACATAATCATTTTAATATCACATAAGGCAAATAAAAACAGGAAAATAGGAAAATACTCATTTGAAAAGCTGGAACTAGAAAATGTCTGGCATTTTTTGCTTTGAAACAGACTTCTTTTGCGCAACTAATCAATTAATCGTTTCAGTTCTTTGTTTGTTTAAAGTCATCTCATCTGAGTGTCGTTAAGTGTTTTAACCAGTTTATAATTTCACAATGTTTCCATATTGTGTCACAATATGAGATCAGGGTTATCTAGCTGACAAGCACCTTCCAGCCATTCTTTCATTTGCCAGATTGTTGAAGAAAGGAACCATCTGTGAGACAATACAGGGTATCAAACACACACATCGTCTCTCCTCTCCTGACGAATACAGTGTGGAGTTTTAAGGCTCGGTCTAAATTGAGGTTAAAGAGTATCCTTTCACCTTCACAAGACTTGGCCTGCTCATGGAAACACCACCCAGACAGCTACACACACACACTCACGCACACACAAACGTTAAACTCCAGGTGTACACACACACACACAGAGCACTGTGTTAATGAGAGTGTACTCTCCTTCTGTTTCGCTCTCTTTTCCGCCCCATCAGGGAATATAAAGTTTAACAGGCGTTTTGCTATCAGTGACCCTGAGGAGGAAACGCACTCACCACCAAGAAAGACTACTAATTACCCAAAACTCTGTGGGTGTCTGTGCTGCGGAGTGTGAGTGTGTGTGTGCAAAGTGTGCATGGATGCATGTGTTTGCTTGTAAGTGCACGTTTGCATGTGCCTGTGTGCAAAGTAGAGAGCATGATACTTATTGATGTAAAAGTGTAGTAGGACGTGTGTCAACTTTGTGTGTGTGTGTGTGTGTGTGTGTGTGTGTGTGTGTGTGTGTGTGTGTGTGTGTGTGTGTGTGTGTGTGTGTGTGTGTGTGTATGTTTAAGAAAAGGTTGAGGTGGTGGTTTGCTTTTAGATAGGTAGGTGGGTTAGGGGTGCAGGCTAATTTATGTCAGCACTATAGCGAGCGCCTAGATTTATTGACGGTAAGGCAATACGGAGAGATCTGCTTTTTCAAAAACGCTCTGCGCACTCACACACACACACACACACACACACGCACACAACTTAATGCCCTCCACCTTCCACCTCCCACCTTCTATTATACAACATGTCTGTCTTTCACACCGAACCTGACTGTAACTGTAGAGGCTGTACTACTGCTGTGCTGACGCAAAGGACATATGGTCCCGAAAGAAACCATTAGAAGTTTTTTTCTCTCTCTCTCACTCTCTCTCTCTCTCTCTCTCTCTCACACACACACACACAGTTGCACTGTACATGGCCCATTCCCCCCTTTAGCCATCCCAATAAAACGACAGAATTCTTTACATTTGTAGAGGGATTAGAACAAAAATTGTCCTTTGGAGGGAAAGTGAATTTACCAGCTGAGACAGGACAATAATTTGTAAATGGGTCAAATGGGAGTATCAAGACAAGGAAGGAAATGCCTTGTAAATTTTTGGGAGCAATGTATGGTCCTCTTCATCAAGACTTCTCGGATGTAATTTGTACTACCTCTGTTTAAAGTTTATATGGCTATTTATGTACATGAGTACGGTAGGATGTGTTATCTTAGGGCTGGGGATTCCTTTTTAGATCCTCTGTTACATGATACAAATCCTTTTTATTCAATCAGATATTATATTTTTTTAATTCTTGCAGACTTAAGGGTTTCATCTTCAAGCCGTTATTTGCATATTAGACAGATTTTCTGCAGTAATCTGAATTTATATCCATCTCTTTACGTGTTTAACCTTTTCACACTAATCTTAGGTAAAAAGTGCAACCTACATGCATATTCTTATTCACTAGTAATAAGTCTTTCTGTTTGCATGGACACATAGTGGCTGAGTGTCTCTTCAGTTGAGATCAAGCAGAAAAAAACTTCAAAGTCTTGCTCCAGAAAGCTCAGTATTTTTATATGCAGGCCTGGGTTCTCTCCCAGCCGTTGTCGTTTCAAAAGAACTGAAGGCTTATAAAAACCATGTAAGGGTTATTATGTACATCCTATCTGCTTCAGCCTTCACTGACCCTCAAACTGTGAGTGTGTGTGTATGTGTGTGTGTGTGGTCATTAGGCAGAGCTACAGTGGAATCCGTTTACTCTCAATAATTTCGCTGGTTTTTGTGAGCCTGAGAGGAGGAATGAACATCCTGAGTTTATTGGCCATTAGAGAGCTCTAGACATGCGTGTGTGTGTGTGTGTGTGTGTGTGTGTGTGTGTGTGTGTGTGTGTGTGTGTGTGTGTGTGTGTGTGTGTGTCTGTGTGTGTGTGTGTGTGTCTGTGTGTATCTGTGTGTGTTGATGAGTGTGTATGTCAGGAGAGCTAGTTTGTTTGGCTAAGTGAGGCAATTTTGGTCTTTAAGTATCTCATGTCACTTCCCCTCAAAAAGGGGCAAGTGATACAAGCACTCCATTCTTAGCAACACACACACACACACACACATATGTATGGACATATACAGGAACACTCCACACACACTGTTCAGGCTCAAACATTAATTTCAAATGCTAGATTTGTATTTAGTAATCTAAATATGAAAAATAGAAACTATGGACAATATATGAAGTTTCAATTTGAGGCTCAAGAGTTTATTACTTTATGTAAGAATCTCTTAATTATTTTCCTTCCCTTACCGTTGACTCATTCACTATTGTTTTGCGTGCATTCCCATATCCTTCAAAGCCCAAATTAAACAAATCAAAATGACTAATGACTGATGTAATTTAAATCAAAGTATTGAATACCCCAAAACAGACTCACTGACATGCTCAGAGAAAACAGGAGAACCTCAAACATGTATCAGTGCATCACAAGAGGAAACATACATAGTTGCTTGTCAAAAGCAGCCTAATTCCTATAAGTCAAGTAAGATGTTACCTGATTGGTTCTTCAGGGTGGTCCTCTGATTAACCTGACCAGCCAGAAACCCGATGACTTTGATCTGTGATTGGTGAGGTCACTCAATGAGGTCAGCCAGCGTCTGCAGTGAAACTGAGAGGGCCGGTGATGAAGTATTTGAAGAGCATCTTTCCAAAATGAGACGTGACACCTAATTTCACCAAAAAAGAAAAAGAGGAAGGAAAAAAAAAAGACATGATTACTGGTATGCGAGAAAGTAGAGCTCATATTGAAGTATGTTTGAAAATCTATTAAATTGGACGTAAGGTTGGGCAATATAGGAGAAATCAATATCATGATAGATATTCAGTGTATTATAATATGGCAAATGTATGCAAAATCCCATATAGAGCGATCAAACTGATCTGATGTTCAGTGGAGTGTTTTTTGTTAAATAATACAAAAATCCTTAATACATCTGATTATTACTTCCTAGTTACAATTAGCTTGAAATCATTAATTTGTACAAGAGACTTTAGGTAATAATACAATATATGACAGCATTCCACCAGATGTCGATGAAAATAAGACTTCAAGCGATAGGCAGTTAATTGATTAGTCAATCAACAGAAAATTAATCGGCTACTATCTCGACCCTTAATCATTTATCAAGCAAAAACCCAATCATTCTCTGGTTCTGGCTTCTCCATTGTGAGGATTTCCTGTTTTTCTCAGTTATATATAATTTTGAATGTAATATTTTCAGGTTTTGGACTGTTGGCTAGACAAAACAAGACATTTAAAGATTGTGATCGGCATTTTCTTTTTCTAACTTTTATAAACTAAACAATAAGTTGGTCATGATCAACTGAATTGTCAACAGACTATTGAAAACTGAATTGAAGATAAAAATAAGTTACAGCCCTCATGAATAATATATGATTATTTCCCAGCCTGGTAAAATAGCTTTATGTTGGATATCTGTCTTGAATTAGTGTCACCCACCTCCCTTTGTTGTGTCTTTATCTGTCCTCTTTTTTTTCTACTTGCCTTTTTTCCTTCCCCACTGGCCCTCTTTCTTTGTCCCTGCTCTAACATGTTTCTTTGTCTCCCCCGTTGCTTCAGAGGAAGAAGAACTCTGAACAGCTGTGGTGCTCCCTGCCTGTCGTGAGTTATGGCGAGCTGCTGTCCTCTTGGCTTTTATTGATAATATTACACTGGCTGATGTAAATATAACTTTGGCAGCTATAACACTGCCTGCCCCCCTCCGTCAACCTAATACAAAGATAGGACCTGCCTCTGTGTGTGTGTGTGTGTGTGTGTAGGTGAATGAATTTTAACTGAACGAATACCTGTGAGAGCAAGCGAGGAGGTCAGGGAAAGATCCACCATGTATCTGTGTTCATTTATGTGTGATATTCACTTCCTGATCCCAGGACAGGCCTTCCCAAGGTAGATGTGCAACATCAGGCTACATGCAGTTTGCAGGAAACAGCGAGCTGAGATCCAACTTGATAAACGGCTCTGTGCTTTAAGTTGGCTAAAAGAAGATCCTGCCCTCGTGTGTCTATATATTTTTTGTCTGTCTAAGTTGGGCTGCGACTTCCCGCAGTGCTGTAAATAATATGTCTTTTCACTGGTTGGTGTCTCCATGTGGTGCACACACAGAAACATGACTGGACTTAGAGTGAAATTAGAGATAGTGATGATCATGACAGTAAAGAGTTCTGTGTGAGCCAACACAACTGTAAGACTACATACACACACACACACACACACACACACACAGACACACACACACCCACACACTTTTGAGCCACAAGCTGCATTGTAAGCGCTCATTAGGTTTTTGGTGCCCTGACCTGAAGGTGTAAATTCTACATTAATGCCTCATCTGTTAACTTGACTGAACACTGATGCTCTCACTACTGAAGATACAACACACACACACACACACACACACACACACACACACACACACACACACACACACACACTTTACCCTGTATGTTCACACACACACACACACACACACACACACACACACACACACACTATACGCATGGGCATACACATATTCAGAAAGGCACATGGAGAACCCTGCAGCTGCTGTCCGCCCACACACTTGAACCATGTCATTCTTGCCCCCCCCACACACACACACACACACATACAAACATACACATCACACACACACACACACACACACACACACACACACACACACACACACACACACACACACACACACACACTGTACCACATTCACTGCATTCTGCCATTCCTCTAACACAGGCAGGAAGCAAATGTGTCATTTATTGCGGCCTGTTTCCAATCTGTGCTGATGATAAATATCTCCGATCTCCCCCATGCTGCTCCTGAATATTCTGAGACAAAGGCCTCTTATGAAATTATACTGTCATTAGAATGACTGCTCTGATTAGATACTGAGACTGGATTAGCCATCTGCTTGGCTCTTAAGCAGAGGAATGATATGATCAAAACTAATTACCATGTATTCCTACATGAGAACACATTGAAGGTTTTAGTTTCAAAATATGATATGCTGTATTCATTTTGAGTGGCTAAAAAAATCCCGTGTGGTGGAATCCGAATACATTACTGTTCAGTATGATAGAGCACTGTGATGTTGATACGAATGTAATAGTTTTTACAGTAATCTTGTTTAAGCCTTTAAACTAGGAATTATAAGGTGGAAGTATATGATAAATTATTAAGAATTATTATGATATTAATGATTAAGACTGTACCTAAAGCTAATGCGTTAGATAGTAAAATGTTACAAAACAGAAGATAAAGATTGTGAGATCAGATTTGATTTGTGAAATGTCGAACATTTTAACATGGAGAATTCATCTTGTTTTTATTAGCTCCTTAAAAGCTACTGATTCAGAGATGGATAGAGATACCATGTTTACAAAAATATTTAGCCTGATAACACATATGAAGCTACTGAAACAGCTCTCTCTATTTTGAACCTCCATATCCTACTAAACATTTTAGATTTTCAATGCCTCTTACACTGAAAGCTGTTCCACTTGTTTCCACATGTCACACAGCGTAAAAGAATGGCAATCGTTGTGGGCAGTGTGCTAAGAGTTGCCACTATGGAATGGACATGTGCAGCAATTTATCACTTGTCTCTCAGCACATGTGTGGGTGGCCCAGCAGCGGGTATTCTTGCAATTTGGGAGCAATTGACAGTAATCCCCTCTTTCTGCTTGTGTGAAAGCTCATCATCCCCCTGCACGCCGACAGGCACGTCTTCACTAGAGATGACCCCCAGAGCTGGTACAAAAAGCTTTGGGTCTGTCGTAGCTCATGTTCTATATCATTATCAGCTTGTCTCGAACTTTTTCTTGGTGGTCTGAAAGGCCCCTCAGATTAAATCACTATACTCTGGGAAGGTAAGCACAAATCCTTGCAGATGCATTGATGGAAATTCTATGCAGGTTTATTTGACCTGTTTTTTAACTTATTTTTTATAATTATGAAAATTAAAAAATATACTATACTAAGAAAACTGGTGCATATGCTTTGATACAGTGGTTCCCAACCTGGGGTTCCGGGTCCCCACTAGGGCTCACCAAAGGGTCACAATGCCTTCTTGATTTTAAAACCTCCAAAATATATGCTGCAGGCCTATATCTCAGAATTTCATCCATTTCTGTGAAGAAAATTAAATGAAATTGTCTGCTTAGATAGTATGTATGACTATTAAAAATACATGATACAGGGGCGCCCCATAGCTCAGAGGTCGTCAGTTTAATCAATGATAGAAAAGGGGTCCTTTCAGGAAAAAAGTTGGGAACCACTGCTTTGATACAAAAGGTTGGTGAAAATCACAGGCACACACACATAATCAACATGGCACTTCCAAATCAAGCTTCACAGCGATCAACAGCTTTGAGTTTACACAACTGTGTGGAATAGATATGGTCCTCGTCTTGCATTTAATAAAAACAGAACCTTTGCTACAGTGGCAACTGTAATGTGCACATATTGTATTGGTCCATTGTGGTAAAGAGAGCTGACCCACAAAACAAGAGTTTGTTTCAGAGAGTCCTTCTTCCACCCCTCACCTATGGTCATCACGGTTGAGTAATCACTACAAGTTTTTGGCTTAGGATCTGAGAGGACCTAAAGAGTTAAGCTCCTACTCCGCTGTCTGAATTACGTTTACTGGCAATGTCTTTTCCAATTCAGGAAGTATAGCGTGTTGTAGCTACTGTATAGAAGTCGAGGGGAGGAGGTCAGGATGGATGTTTTTGCCTTCAAAGCACAGGACCTTGACACCAAAGACATGAGTTCATGTCCCACATGGTGTTTGGTTTATGCTACTAAAACACAGGGGAAGACTGCAGCTTTGCATATCAAGATATCAAGGTCAACGTGTCCTGTCTCATACACCGGTGCGTCAGTGTTGACCAAGACAACGATCTTTCCCTAACCTCAACAAAAAGTGTTTTGAGTAGCCATGAGTGGATATTGTAGGGAAAGAAAGATGTAGATGTGTTCCACATAAATAAAGCTGCTGGTAATGTTTCTAAATGTATTTGCTATTGAAAATTAGTCGAACATAATCTTTAGGAGACAGGGTTGTGCTTAAGGAAGTACTGTCTGCTGCTGGCTAGAGATTCCTTTGAGATCCTCCATGAGAAGGTGGATAAAGTTGTAAATAATAACTTGCAACCTACTGGGCTGCTCTGCCCATTTATTTACAGATTTGAACTTATTGAAGAGACACTGTTTTGAATATTTTTTGAATAATTTCTGTATGTCCAAATCTTTGCTGTAAATAGAAAGTGTTACTGTACTCTGGCTTTAGGAGAAAAGTTTAAAAGGGCATATGTTGAGTCACTGGCATAAACAGCTACGCTATATGGAGAAACTAAACCTTAGTAAAGTGTAATGATGCATGAGGCAGTTCCTCAGCCTGAGCCCCATCTTTTCTCCCAAATAGTTGTGGTTGCCATATGCTCAGATTGACTATAATTGTTAGTTTCCTGGACAAAGTGTTCAGAGGTTTGCAGGCGTTTAATATACCCTGCAGGCAGAATTAAAAAGCAATCATGAAATCCAATTCTTCCATATAAAAACAAATGAGCAATGCGCCGTGCCACACTTCTATTTACAAAGCAAACACTTGCCTTCATCTTCATAATATCTCACATTATGCCCAATAATGTG